AACTATAAGAGAATATTTTTATTATTTCTCGTGCAAAATATTTGAAAACTAATAAATACCGAAAAAAAATTTTAAAAAACTTCCCCCACACGAGGATTGATAATGTTTATCTTAAACAGAACAAAACTCCTTGTATGGTTGTAAAAGCGTTGATCTGCATGTTTACGAGATGTGAGAGAGCTTTTCATGTTTCGTGTGTGTGCAACATCTCAAGTGAGACTTGAAACTCAACACGGAGAGTTTGTACCTCGGGTACATATATCGTATAGAGTAAAGTCTAGGCTTTTCCGCTTGGTAAATAATACACGTCCTGACGCCATATGCCATCTCTTCACATCACACACACACCCCTTCCTCTCCTCTCCTCTCTCTCTCTCTCACTCTTCTTTCTTTCTCTTTTTTTTTAAACCCATCTTCGAACTGAGCTTCAACGAAAACCATCTACGGGACCCATCGCATTTCTCGGATGGCGGACAAGAACTTTTCAGACTAGGAGAAGATTACATTGCAGCCCGCAGCATAACGGTTGAAAGGTTGCACACCTACTTTTGGTTAGTTCGAGAAACTTTTCTCAAAAAACCTTCGTCTATAGAGACTTGGCGCGCGCGTCTTTATATCTTCAATGAAGTTCAACCAAGTGACTATACTTTTATTCTCCGCCCAGGAACAATATTGACAAAGTGAAAAAGTCACCGAAAGTCATACATTCAATTATACACTCGAACCAAAGATTCTGATTAATATTTTAAAACCTTCTTTATGTCACATTTGTTACAAATTTTTGCTCTTCGAAAAAACTTTTTTTTTCTATAGAAATAATATTTAACTATTAATTTATTATCTTAGATGTTTGGATAAAATTAATTTTCAAACGTTCTACTCCCTTTTAGTGCGGAAAAACTTTCCAAAATTCTACAAAACAGGGCTCCAACCAGTGAAAGTATTTAAAAATGCAACCAGTCCAGTAAAAATATAACCAGTCCGAGTCAAATAAAAGAATATTTTACATAAAACTACACTGAAAAAAAAATTTATTTGATTCAAATAACCAATTAGTTGACAATTATCAATTAAATATTTTTTTGAATCAAATAATATTTATTACAGTCAATTAAATGGTATTTCAACCAATAATTTCAGTATTTGAAGCAAATATGTACTAAACCATTAATTGACTCCAATAAATATTATTTAATTCAATTCAATATTTTCTTGATAATAGTCAATTAATCGGTTATTTGAATCAAATAAATTTTTTTTTCAATGTATAAATTAAATTTATACTCCGAGTCGAAGACTCGGAGTAATCGATTTCTTCATGTTTTATAGTAATTAAAGACAACCGAATGATAAAATCATTATCAATTCAATTATTATTTTCAAGAACGTTTAACTAAAATTTATCTATCAATTATTTTTAAAAATTTTCGAAAAAGTTCTTTGACAATTTTCAAATCCATTTCTTTACAATATTCAATTTTACGAAATTTCAATTATTCGTAAATTCTTCAATTCTTTTATTCTTCAAATAAAAACTTAAAAATAATATAAAAAAACTTCAATTAAACTTTTACAAAAAAATTAATTTCAAAATTCAATTATTTCTACAAATTCACGCTACATTGCTTTTAATATTTAATTATTTAATTTAATATTTAATTTATCTAAAATTTTAACTGAAATTCATTTTTAAATCAATTTTTATTAGAAAATTCAACTAGAATTCAATTATCTAAAAACAAACATAAATAATTTAATGAATAATTGAATGCTTCTTAAAATTCAATTCCCATAAAGAATTTTATTAACACATTTTTAAATAACTGAATTCTTTTGACGATTTTAATAAAATTTTCAAGAATAGTTAAAATCATTTGAAGAATTTGATTAACATTGTATTCAAAATAATTGAATCCCTAAGAAGTATTTTATTATTTTTGAACAATATTTAATTTTTGCGAAGAAAACTTGAGAAGAAAACACTTGAAAATAATTGAATTTCTGCAACAATTTGTAACTTTTCCAAAATTACATTTTTTTTCGTGTTTTTAACTAAACATCTTCTATAAACCCATTATTTTAAATAATTTTTGAAAAAATTCTTTGAGAATTTTCAAATTCATTTATTTACAATTGAATTTTACAAAATTTCAGTTATTTGTAAATTCTTTAATTAAATATGTAATAGAAAATAAAATCTTCAAATAATTTGAAAAAAAAATCCGCAATTGAACTTTAAAAAAAATTAATTCCGATAATTGTTAGTTAAAAATATAGAAAATTCAAATCTTCAAAGATTTTAATCTGAAACCTTTTCGAAATTCAATTATTTCTAACAATTTTTCGCTCTAATGCTTTTAATATTCAATTATAATCTGAAATTTTAACTGAAATTCATTTTTTAATCAATTGTTATTAGAATATTCTACTAGAATTCAATTATTTAAATACAAACTTAAAATTCAATTCCCATAAAGAATCTTATCAACAAATTTTTAAATAATTAAATTCTCTCGACGAATTTTAATAAAAATTTTAAGAATAATTACATTTTTCGAGAAATTCGATTTTATTATTTTTGAACAATATTAATTAATTTTTGCGAAGAATATTATTACTCTTGAAAATAATTGATTTTCTACAATAATTTGTAACTTTTCCTAAAGTATATTATTTTCGTGTTATTAACTAAAATTCTCTTATAATTGCATTATTTTTAAAAATTTATGAAAAAGGTCTTTGAGAATTTAAAATTCATTTGCTTACAATTCAATTTTACGAAATTTCAATTATTCGTAAATTCTTCAATATTAAATATATATTAGAAGATAAAAACATTAAATAATTTTAAAAAAATTCAACAATTAAACATTTTTTAAAAAAAATTAATTCCACAGAATTGTTAGTTAAAAATATAAAAAAATTCAGATTTGCAAAGATATTAATTTGAAAAATTTTCAAAATTCAACTATTTCTAAAAATTAACGCTCTAATTCTTATTATTTAAATAAAAAAAAAACAATTTATTGAATCATTGCATGTTTCTTAAATTTGAATTCTCATAAAGAATTTTATTAATAAATTTTTAAAAAATTGTATTATTTTGACAAATTTTAATAAAATTTTTAAGAATAATTACATTTTTCGAGGAATTCGATTAAAATTGTATTGAAAATAATTGAAATTCTGCAATGAGTTTTATTATTTATAAAAATAATTGAATTCCTAAAAAGAATTTTATTATTTACTAAAGTAATTGAATCCCTGTAAAAATTTTATTATTTATGAAAATAATTGAATGATTACGAAGAAATTTATAAAAAAAATTTCAAAATATTTAAATTCCTGTGAAATTATTATTATTTTATGAAAATAATGAAAGGTTTGTGTAGAGTTTTATTAAATTTTTGTTAAAATGATTGAATTCCTTTGGAAAATTTTATTTAAATAATAGATATTAAAAATCATTGAATTGAGGAAAATTTTTAAAAATAATTGAAATGTTGCTAAGAATTTTATTAAAATTTTTGAAAATAATTGAATTCCTGTGAAATTTTTATTATTTTATGAAAATAATTAATGTTTTGCGTGGAATTTTATTAAAATTTTTTTTAAATAATTGAATTTTGTTAAAGTATTTTACAAATTGGGGAAAAAGTGCGACAAAGCGAAATTTTTATATAAAAAATACTAAACTTTAAAAAAACTTATGTGAAATTTAGTATAATTGTATCAAATGTCAAGAATATTAATTAAATTCTAATATAACTTTACTCGAGGGGGTATATACTCCCGTATTGGAATGTACACTCTTCTTGTAATAGTCATGTAATATCGCGTAATAGGGCGTAATAGTACGTTATTACGTGGGTGTAATACCTAGACATATCTCTGTATTGCCCTGTAATACCCTGTAATACTTGGTAATAAGTGTAATTTTAGCGTAATAAGTGTATTGGAGTGTACACGTTTTCAACCAGTAAATACCCCCTCGACTTTACTAAATTTCACAAAACTTTTTTTAAAGTTTAGTATTTTCTATATCAAATTTTCGCTTTGTCGCACTTTTTCCGCAATTTGTAAAATGCTTTTACAAAATTTTAATATATATTCTCTTTCCATGCAGAGAAGAATTTTATTATTTCTAAAGATAATTGAAATTTTGACGAGAATTAAAAATTTTTTTTGAACATTGTAATCAATTTACGGACTTTACGGGACCTTTTTTTAAAAAATTATGACTTTTACAGACTTCAAGTAAAGTTACGGACTTTTACGGGATTTACGGACCTAGTTCGAGCTCTGCACAAAAAGAAAGAAATCAGAAGAAAGTTTCTTTGTTACAAAGAAATTTTATTTAAATCAAAGAAATTTTCTTTGAATCGAGGAAAAATTAATTTTCAATCAAAGAAACAAATCAAAGCAAACGATTTCTTTTAATCAACAAAATTTTTTTCCAGGTTCAACTGAAAATTTCGCTAAACAGTTCTCAATGAAGATTTTTTTACCCTGCACTCAAAAGATAAAAACATTATATATTATGTAGTTATATAAAATTACAGAAATATCATTAAGCTCTGTAAAAACCTAAATGTCTTCTTACCGAAACAAACAAACAAAAACGAAATCTATTATATGAACAAAGTAATAAAATAGTTTTAAGATCCAAAAAAGTAAAGCAAGATAAAAACTTAAATCTAGCAAAACCAATTATAAAAGAACAATAAAAAAAAATTTAACTTCGAAAATTTGTAAAAACAATGTTCAGCACGACAAAAATAGAAATTTTACGAGAAGAAAAATAATACTAGTCTATCAAATAGATATAGTATCAGATTATTTTCCACTGTAATTGCAAATAAAAATTCAGGAAAACTAAACGTGTATATAGAAACATGATTTTTTTGCCTTTTTAAATACACTTTTCATTTAAATAGAATGACGACATAGTTTTCAGGATAAAGATAGGTCATTTAAGATACCTAGTTGCAAACAGTCACTTCAGTGTTACTTTGAATGCAGAAGCTTACACTTCCAGGTAATGAAACGGAAAATAGTTTCAATGTCACATCCTATAGCACGATATTAAAAGATAATAAATCGCGCAAAAACAATAAAGCGTACGATACATATAAGTAAGTAGCATTCCTCTTTAAAAGTCATTTTCGAAAACATTCCCCAAAAAAAAATCTAATAAAAAAAATACCAATGTAAATTAGTAATTAGTAAATTTTAAAAATTGATCCAAAATCATTAAACTAAAAATTAAGAACATAAATTCATTTAAATTATAAAAAAGTTGTATCGTCATAAGAATTATTACTTTCATTTTAATTATTTTAATAAAAATACATTACTTAAAAATTACAAAGTTTTATTTATGAATTTACATTCACACAAGAATTTGTGTGGGATTTTTTCCCCCAAAAAAATAACGATCATTAATATTAACTTTAATGATTTTTGTTAAAATATTTTTTTTTTCCATTAACAATTGTTTATTAAAATTCATTAATATACCATTATTATTTTAACACAAACTTGATCTTGAAAAGTAGATAAAGTCATCAAATTACGTAAGAAAGCGGAAAAACGTACTTACATAATAATTATTATTGATGACTGCAATTATAATGGACGAGTCATTCTTTGAGAAAATTTTACAAGCTCATGAGGAGAATAATAAAATTCATGTATTGGAATTAAGCAAAAATCTAGCTACCGCTAAAGGAGATAATTACTTAAGCAACATCTACCGAATCATTATTAAATACAGCAAAGAAAATAATAATGGAAAATCAAATCATGAAATTAATTTAATCCTTAAATCAAAAGTCGAGGAATTTGTCTTTAAGGACATGGACACTTCACACGTTTTTCATAATGAAATTTACGTTTTTCAAAAATTACTGCCCAAAATTGAGAAATACGTGGGCTGTTCAATTGCACCTTTTCATTTTGATTCTAGCGAGGATGAACAGTACATTATTATGGAGGACCTTAGAAAGAAAGGATATACAATGGGGGAGAAACTCAAGGGTTTTTCTCTTGAATATTGCCTTAAAATTATTGAAAAAATAGCCAAATTTCATGCCGGATCCGTTGCCGTTTATGAAAAAGTAAATATTCCTGATATTAAATAATAACTTAATAAATGTTAATTTCAAATATTTAAAAATATTGTACTATGTGCAGAAAAATATTTTCAAAATCCACATAACTTTAAATTTATTACTCATCTCTAAATCTGAATTTTTGAATTTGAAATCTGAATCTAAGGCTAAAAATAACTAATTGTTAGGAAAATATTGAGTGACTGTTTGCTTCAGCAATTAGTAAAAAAAAACTAATTATCGGTAAATAAATAACTACAAAAGTAGTCAAATTACTCTTTATTTACTCTCTAAATCTGAATTAGTAGAATTCCACTAAAAAATAGTAATTTCACTAATTGTTAGTAGAATTTAACTAATTACACTAAAAAATAGTAATTTCACTAATTGTTAGTAGAATTTAAATAATTGTTAAATAGAATTTTACTAAAATTGTTAGAAGAATTTTACTAAATGTTTAATAAAATTTTACTAAAAATTAGTAGGACTGTTTTCTTAAAAGTCAACAAAATAGTTTCACTAATTCGTTTAGTAAATTAGATGATTAGCAATTAGTGAAATTCTATTAAAAATTTAGTTAAATTCCACTAAAAATTAGTGAAAGTTTACTAACAATTAGCAATATTTTACTAACCAAAAAAAGTCGTCCATAAATATTACTAACAATTAGTAAAAATTTTACTATTAGTAAAATTCTACTAATTCAGATTAAGACAGATCTATAATTCACTAAATGAATGAATAAAACTGTTTTGTCATCTTTTAACCAATTTTACTAATTGTTACTAAAATTCTACTAAAAACGAGTAAAATTTCATTAATTGCTGGTAAAATTATTACTAAATCCTTTGGTTGGCAACTTTTCGTCATTTTATTAGTAACTTTCTACTAATTCACATTTAGAGAGTAGTTACAAATTTTTTTAGCTATTTTGACATAACCTAAAAGTGAATTTAACTAATAATTAGTAATTTTTAACTGTTTGGTTATAGTCAAATTTTTTTTAGTCAAATATATTAATATTTGAATTATTAACTGTTTTTTTACTATCAAATTAGTTATTTTTAACTAATTCAAATTTAGAAAGAAATAATAATTATAGACCAACAATTAAATTTCCGTCATAAGAAAGATAAGTAAAATTAACAGCAATTTGTTTATCTTTCTACTACAAAACATTTATTTTTATCTAAAAGTACAAAACAACTATCGTTTAAAAAAATTAATATAAAATTAATAAAAAACTTTAAATATGAAACACAATTTTTGCCTGAAACAATTTTTAAATACCGTTCAACTCTTTGAATTTGTAAAACTATTTACTACTATCTAAATTTGAATTATTAAAAATGTTTACTGATTTGAATTAGTGACTGACTCTTTGCTTTTGAATTAGTAAATTTCACTAAAGATTTAGTTGAAATTACTGTTTATTAGTAAAATTTACTAATTAGTATTTTACTAATTTATTTTAGTAGTATTTACTAATTAGTAAATTTTACTAAAGAATTAGTAGAAATGACTGTTTATTAGTAAAATTTACTAATTCAAAAGCAAAAAGTCAGTCACTAATTCAAATTAGTAAACATTTTTATTAATTTAAATTTAGAGAGTAATTTGAATTAGTGACAGATTTTTTGCATTTGAATTAGTAAATTTCACTATAATAAATTAGTAGAAATTATTACTTATTAATAAAATTTAGTAATTCAAAGCAAAAAGTAAATAAACTAAGTAAATAAGTAAATAATTAGTAAATTTTACTAATAAATATTAATTTCTATTAATTTATTTGCAAAATTTACTAATTCAAGAAGTAAAAATGTTTATAAATTTGAATTAGCGACAGGCTTCTTGCTTTTGTATTAGTAAATTTTACTAATAGTCATTTATACTAATTTACTAGTAAAATTTACTAATTCAAAAGCAAAAAGTAAATAATTAGTCAATTTTATAGTAATAGTAAATACTATTCATTAGTAAAATTTAATAAATTAATTTGAATTCGAATTTCAATTTATTAATTTTCACTAATTCAGATTTAGAGTTTCCTTATCGACTAAATTTTAAATATTTATATTCTATAAGAAAATTTTACTGCAGGAACCACATTTACTACAACCTTTCGATAGTCTCTGTAATCTACAAAGATTTTCAGAAGAATTTTTTAAATTTATCGAAAATTCCCTAACAAGTCTGAGTGAAAACATTAAAAAGACATGGAAGGAAGAAGAATATCAAGAGATCGCATCAAAATTAAATAATTTAGTTGGTAAAATAAAGGATGGACTACTCCAAGCATTCCAACACGATCCCAATGAATTTTGTGTACTAAATCATGGTGATTTATGGGTAAACAATATCATGTACAAAAATAATCAAGACAGAAAATCATGTGATGTATTATTAGTAAGTAAAAATAATTATTTCGTCATAAAACATCACAAAAAAATTCCGCAAGTCATAAAACAAAAAAAGGAAAAAATTATAAAGCAAAAAATCATTCGCACCGACATCAAACTTTCATTATGAAACATAAACTTTCATTTATAAAAGTTTTAAATATTAAAAAAAACTAATAATGAAAAATAATACAAACTAGTAAAAAGGAGAAAATTTCAACTTGTTTTCTTTCAGGTTGATTATCAAATAGTATCGTACACATCGCCAGCAATTGATTTACAACACTTTTTAATCATGTGTCCACAATTGGAAATAAAGGGCAAACATGATGAACAATTATTAGAGACATATTTAACAATATTGTCAAATACAATGAAGAAAATTGGTTGCAAAACAAAACCTCCAACTATGGAAGAAATTAAAAATTCCATTTATAAGCGAAGAATTTATTCTATTTTAACAGGACTGATCTTCTTACCAGGAATGCTGACAAATAAAACTGACTTGGACCAAATGGATGTAAATGTCTTTGATGTGCCATTATCTGTAGAAGCAGTACACAAAATATCCAAACTCTATCTAGATAAGGGATATTTAGATTGAAAATAATAGAAACTATAATAAGTAATAACTTATTTTTTCATAGTTAATTACAATTAATTATTAGTTAATTCATAGTTAATTAATACTAAATCGATAGTAAATTAATTATACTCTCTAAATTTTAATTATAGTGAAAAGTCATCCATTAATCCAAATAAAAAATTTCCACTAATTTTTAGTATAAAATTCAAGTACTTCATTTAATAGTTTTCAATTTTTTACTAAAGTTTTAGTGGAAATTTACTAAAACTAAATAGAAAATTTTACTAATTTAAATAGTGGACGATTGTTCATTCATAGGATTTAGAGAGAATGGTTAATTCAGAAGAAAGTATATTTTTCTACTAACTTATGCAAATGGACCAAAAAGAAACGATTCTATTTTTATATTATCAACTACTGTTACCATTGTTAACTATTTAAAAAAAAAATAAAATTACATATTGACAAAATTCTTAACAAATTCTAAAGATATATGTTGACACCGTGACATGTAATTTATTGTTTTAAAGTTAATCAAACAGATGCACTATTATTAACTGATATCAATTCTCAATCTAATCAGACGAAGAGAAAAAATAAAAATTGATTTATGTCAAGTGTATAAGCAATTTTAAATAATTATTTTACAGTAAAAAAATTTTAATTTCCCAAAAGACAACATAAGTACGTCTTCTATTTTTTCGCGAAAATTACCTTCAAATTTCATATTTTAATAACCAAATAATATTTAATTGAAAAAACAAAAATTTAACCAGAAGCAATTGTAATTTTTTTTTCAACATCTTTTTTTAATCCTCAAACTAAGATTTCACAATATCTGTCGCACATTTGAATATATGAAAATAAATAAAATAAAAAAAAAGTACAAGCGATAAAAAAAGTGTCAATTATCTGTCAATTATCTCCGTAGAGGGGGATTGATTAGTTGTCTCAAGCAATGCAACAATCACTCTACATTCAATTAACCATCAAGAAGACTTGCAGTAATAATTCAACATTAAAATCGTGCGTTTAACTAAATATACAAAACAGAAAATCAGTAAAATAAAATCAACTCATACAATAATAAGTTGCTCGACAAGCAAAACAAGTTTATTCAAGGTAATCGATAAAATATTTTTCCAAACCTAGGAATTTTAATTTTTCAAAAAGAAAATTCTAAATTTCAACCAATTGAAACAAGAAAAACATAAAAATATTCCATTTTATAAATTGACAACTAAAACACAAGAAATTGAATTGAGATTAAATTGAATTTCTTTTCATTACATTTCATTTAAATAATAGAATAATGAATATGGAAATTGTCAGTAAATCATTTTGCGAGCGTATTTTACAATCACGTGAGAAAACTAAAAACATAAAAGTATTGAAGATTACAAAAGAGATGGCAACAGCAAAAGGTGACAATTTTTTAAGTGAAATTTATCGAGTATTTATCAAATACATGAATAATAAGAATATCACTGAGGAAACGAGTATAATTGTAAAAGTCAAACTCGAAAATCTGACAATTGGAGCCGACACTATAGATGAAGTATTCAATACGGAATCAAAAGTTTTTCAAAATATTCTACCAAAAATTGAAAAATACACCAATTGCTCCATAGCTCCTCATCTTTATTACGCGGATGATAATTCAGATTACATCGTTATGGAGGATCTCTCAAGATCGGGATATGCTATTGGAGATAAATTGAAGGGCCTCACCTTTCAACAGTGTCAGAAGATTATTGAAAAAATGGCTAAATATCACGCTGGATCAGTGCTCGTTGCCGAAACGGTAAGAAATTTCCAAGAATTAATTAAAACTAATTAAAAACTAATTCAAAACTAATTCAAACTAATTGAAACTAATTAAAACTAATTCAAACTAATTCAAACTGATTAAAACTAATTAAAACTAATTCAAACTGATTAAAACTAAATCAAACTAATTCAAACTAATTCAAACTGATTAAAACTAATTCAAACTAATTAAAAACTAATTCAAACTAATTAAAACGAATTAAAACTAATTAAAAACTGACTGAAAACAAATAAACTACATAAAGTTTGTATTTTTCAATTAGCGTCGACGCTGAGCGTCAAAAAACTTTTTATTTCTACAGAACAAAAAAAAAATAAAATCAAGAGTACTTTCGACTATTAAACAATCTTTGGAAAAATTACGAACCAATTACTGACAGAAATATAACTAGTCCGAGTCAAATAAGAAACATTTTACTAAAAAGTATATATCAAAATTTTTCATAAATATAAAACATGAAGATATCGTTAATCTAAAATTTTGACTGAAATTAATTTTTAAATCAATTTTTATTAGAAAATTCTACTAGAATTCAATTATTTAAATACAAAAATAAATCATTTATTGAATAATTGAATGTTTATTAAAATTCAATTCCCATAAAGAATCATAACAAATTTTAAAATACTTGAATTTATTCGACGAATTTTAATAAAATTTTTAAGAATAATTATATTTTACGAGGAATTCCAATTAAAATTGTATTAAAAATAATTGAAATTTTTTAATGAGTTTTATTATTTATGAAAATAATTGAATTATTGAGAAAAATTTTATAAAAAAATTTCATACAATTATTTTTTTTTTTAATGCAAATTTTATTTTTAATAATTGAATTCCTGTGAAATTTTCATTATTTTAGAAAATAATTGAATATTCATGTAGAACTTTGTCAAAATAGTTTTTAAATAATTGTATTCTTTTGGGAAATATTATTAAAATAATAAATATACAAATTATTGAATTAAAAAAAATTCTTCAAAATAATAGAAATTTTGCAATGAATTTTATTAAAATTTTTTTAAATAATTGAATTTTATTACTTTTAAAAATAATTGAATTCTTGTGGAGAATATCGTTATTTATGAAAATAATTTGTAACTTTTCCCAAACTGAATTATTTTTCGTGTTTTCAACTAAGCATCTTCTGTAAATCCATTATTTTTAATAATTTTTGAAAAAGCTTTTAAAAATTTTCAATTACATTTATTCACAATTCAATGTTACAAGATTTCAATTATTCGTAAATTCTTCAATTAAATATATATTAGAAAATAAAAACTTGAAATAATTTTCTTAAAAAAATCCATTAAATTTTTTCAAAAAATTTAATTCTATACAGTTAGTAAAAATATGAAAAATTCAAATTTTCAAAGATTTTAATCTGAAACATTTTCAAAATTCAATTATTTTTAAAAATTGAAGCTATATTGCTTTTAATATTTATTATTATCTAAAATTTTAACTGAAATTAATTTTTAAATCAATTTTTATTAGAAAATTCTACTAGAATTAAATTACAAAAATACAAAAATAAATAATTTATTGAATAATTGAATGTTTCTTAAAATTCAATTCCCATAAAGAATTTTATCAACAAATTTTTAAATAATTGAATTCTATTGACGACTTTTAATAAAATTTTAAAGAATAATAACATTTTTTCGAGGAATTCGATTAAAATTGTATTAAAAATAATTGAAATTCTGCAATGAGTTATGAAAATAATTGAATTCCTAAAAAAATTTTATTATTTACGAAAATAATTGAATCCCCGTAAGAATTTTATTATTTATGAAAATAATTGAATGATTGCGAAGAAATTTATAAAAAATTTGTAAATAATTAAATTCCTGTGAAATTTTTATTATTTTATGAAAATAATTAAAGGTTTGCGTAGAATTTTATTAAAATTTTTTTGAAATAATTGAATTCTTTAAGAATTTCATTAAATAGTAGATATTAAAAATCATTAAATTAAGGAAAATTCTTGAAAATAATTGAAATTTTTCCAAGAATTTTATTAAAATTTTTTTAAATAATTGAATTTCGGAGAAGAATTTAATTATTTCCAAAGATAATTGAATTTTTGATGAGAATTTTTAAAAATATTTAAACGTAATTGAATTTCTGCGAAGAATTTTATTACTTTTGAAAATAATTGAATTTCTGCAATCATTTGTAATTTCTCTAAAATTATCCAAATTGTATCGTACAATTTACGAACTTTTCAACCTTTTTTTTAGCAAATTACTAACTTTACGGACCTTTTTTAAAAAAAGGACTTTTACGGACTTTAAGCAAAGTTACGGATTTTTACGGACATAGTTCGAACCCTGCACTAATAATAAAATAACAAAAGTAAATCTTTCTCTAATTTTAGGAACCAAAACTACTACAATGTTACGATCAAGTTTGCGCCTGGAATATTTTTCCAAAAACTTTCTATAAATTCATGTCAGATTCATTAATGACAATAAGCAAAAGCATTGCCGAAAAATGGAAGGATGATGAATATCAGGAAATTGCCTCGAAAATGAAAAAAATGTGTAATAATTTTGAGGATAGAGTTATTTCCGCCTTTCAACACAATGAAAATGAATTTTGTGTACTAAATCACGGTGACTTTTGGATTAACAATGTAATGGTGCAAACTAATGACAAAGGAGAAACAACTGACGTACGAGTGGTAAAAAAAAATTAATTGAATTCCATATAACCTTTAAAGTGCTATTACATTGTTGTAAAATGAAGTTTAAAATTACGCACAACATCCATTCAATTGAAAAACAAACAAAAGTCCAAATTAAAACTAAACAAAATTTTAGTTTATTTTTTAAACAAAATTCGATTTTAATAATGATCCATACAAATTCAAAGTATATCAAATTGAGACAAAAAACGTATAAAAATTGGCAACTATAACAATTTTGATACGTTTCTTGTCTCAATTTGATATCTGCAGAAAACCTCCATGTCCATAAAATTCATTTACACGTCAATTTTTTTCACCAAAGAATAAGAAAAATAAAAATACTTGGAATCTTTTCAGCTCGATTTTCAACTGGTAACCTATACATCGCCTGCTATCGATCTCCAGCATTTTCTTGCAATGTGTCCGGAATTGAAAATAAAAGGCGAGAAGGATGATTATTTTCTTGAGAGGTATCTGACAATATTAACAAAAACAATGTCAGATATTGGTTGTAAAACGAAACCACCGACGAAACACGATCTGGAGGAAGCAATGAGAAAAAGAGGTGTACATTCAGTTGTCACGGGATTAATCTTCTATCCCCGTGTACAAGCCGATAAAGAAGACATAGAGGACTTTGTGGATGTTATGTCGGAGGGCGAAACTAAAATTGATCTATTTAAAAATCCACTATCCGTTAATATAATACAGAAATTCTCTCGTATTATCAATGACAAAGGTTATCTCGATTGTTAAATTTGTCACAGAATTCTGTGATACGAATGTCGACGACCGACGCACCGCGTATTGTAAACAAAAACAAAAATGTGATCGCAAACCAAAATATGATGATAACAACTTCACTATAATAATGATTATGTTCCTATAAATTTCTGAACGTTCAAATGAAGCAAATTTTATTATTTTTTGTTCAAATTAAAATTTTGTTCCAAAAATATAACGTTACTACAACTACTGCTACCACTACTATTATTATTATTTACTGTATTTTTTCAAATTACAACAAAAATAAATGAAATTTTTAATGAGAATCAGATCGAAAAACCGACTTTACAGTTCATTGCAATCATTAATTAATTTTTTTAAATATTGTTAATGACAAATATTTTCTTCATTTGAACGTTCAAACATTTAGGATCATCTACTATGACTCGAAAGCATTCAAATAAAACAAAAATAAATATTTTCAAACACGAATTTCAATAATAATTGTATTAAAAATAAATTACTGACTTATTCCTTATTTTCATCAAAATTATTTACGTCTTTTTTATCCTGCTAATAAATTGAATTCCTGCAACGAATTTTATTATTCATGAAAGAATTTAAATATTCATAAATAATAAATTCTAATTTAAATAATTGAATTCCATTAAAATTTTTGACAATAATTTAATGTCAGCGTGGAATTTTATTAAATATTTTTGAAAATAATTTAATTCCTAATGAGCATTTTATTATTTATGAACATAATTGAACTTTTGCGAAAGATTATCTTAGAATTTTTTAAACTATAATTGAATTTCCAAGAAAAAATTTATTATTTTTGAAAATAATGGAATTCTTGTTATGAATTTTTGAATAATTTTATTATTTATCGACATAATTGAATTGTTTTGAAGAATTATTTATGTAAATAATTGAATTCTTTCGAAAAATTTTATTGAAATGTTAAAAAAGAATTGAATTTCTGTGAAAAATTCTAATATTTTTGTAAATAATTGAATTCTTACAAAGAATATAAAAAACATTTTTTTAAATAACTGCTTTTTCAAGGAATTGAAATTAAATTTGTAAGAATAATTACATTTTTTGGTCAATTTCTGTAAAATTGTATTAAAAATAATTGAAATCCTGCGATGAATTTTATTTTTTATGAAAATAATAATTATTGCGAACAATTTTATTAAAATGTTTAAAAAGAATTGAATTTATGTGAAAAATTTTGTTATTTTTGAAAATAATTAAATTCTTTATAAGAAAAATTTATAAACATTGTTTTGAATAATAATTTTTTCGAAATATAATAAATAATTATGAAAATTTTATTTTAAATAATTGAATTCTTGTGGAAAGCATTATTTGTGAAAATAATTGAATTTTTCCATTAATTAATTTAAAATAGTATTAAGAATAACTGAAATTCTTCGATGAGTTTTAATATTTATGAATTTAATTGAATTCTTGCTTAGAATTTTATTAAAAATTTGAATTTCTATGAAAAATGTTATTATTAGTGAAAGGAATTGAATTATTGTGAAGAATTGTATAAAAATTTTGTTAAATAATTGATTTTTTTTAAAGTGCTATTCTAAATTAATTGAATTCCTGTGGAAATTTTATTTTTTATAAAAATAATTGAATTTTTGCTTAATTTTATAAATTTGTTTTTTAAATAATTGAACTTAAATTTAAATTTTAATTAAATTTAAATTTAAATTTAATTTTAATTTTAACTTAAATTTTATGAAAATACTAGATATTGAAAATAATTGAATTTCGAATATTTTTTGAAAATAATTGAATCGTTTTAAAGAGTTTGATTATAATTGTTGAGAATAGTTTTTTGATTTCTAGTATTAATTAATTTAAAGTTGTGGAAATTTAAAATAAAACAGAAATAGGAGCTTTTAGTGGCTGAAATCTAAAAAAAGTCCCCAAATAGTATCATAACGTAAAAAAAGTAGTAAATAGTAGGTTTTAGTAGATGAGTGCGAAGCCTGCAATTATATTGCACGTTACATCTGTTAGCTAACAATTCTTTTACATTTGTTTTTCTCTTAAATGTCAGTTCGGTTACTTGACAAATGGAAAATGTGCAAGCGCTCCCTTATGGGAGTAATAAAAATACACTAGAACCTCTAAATTTTAAACTAACCAATGTGTCCAAAAAAGCATGCCCCTAAAGTTCCAAACCTTCAAATAAACAAAATTTTTTTATTTCTTCTTCAAATTCCAATTTTTATTTTATTGTAATAATATTATGTCAAGTATCATACAGATTCTAAACGTTTAATCTTGTTTTTGTTTTTTAAAAGTCAGTAATTTTCGAAAATATTTATATTGGATCAGTAAAAAATTAAATTTTTCGCAATAAATAAAAATTTATAATAAAAAATAATTCCTTAAAAATAGTTTCTTTTTCATTATTCTCTATTTATTGCAAAATTGTACTTCAACTATCGTCCTTATTAAAAAAAGAAAGATTACAACGCGATCAACAAACAATACTTTGTGTAGTTTACAATCGAGCCCTACAGATGGCATACCCGTTCCACTACAACTTTTATCAGCGATTACAGATTGCACAAAGAATTTCTTTTCCATGCAATAGCCTTTAGTCAACATTACAAGCACATCAACACTACCGAAAAGATAATCAGTGAAATATTGCGAAATATAAACCAATCGTTTGTATATTTTGTAAATAAAATAAAATAACCACTGTGCAATTACAGAAAATTTAGTGCAATAAAATAAAAGCATAAACAATAATTAATTAGCGATTAATCATGGACAGTGTATGTGATAGCAAATCTTTCTACCAAACAATTCTCCAATCAAATATAAACACCAACATAACTGTTTTACAAGTTTCAAAAGAATTAGCCACTTCAAAAGGTGACAATTTTCTCAGCGAAATTTACAGAATTTTTATCAAGTACACCAACAATGAACATGATAATGAAAATCATGAAAACACTAGTCAGGAAACAAGTTTAATATTTAAAATGAAACTCAATAATGTGTCAATGTCCGAAAGTATAGATAAAGTATTTTTTACTGAATCGAATGTCTACAAGAGAATAATATCGAAAATTGAAAAGGGACTCAACTGCTCAATTGCTCCAAAAATTTATTACATTGATGAAAATTCAAATTTTATAGTCATGGAAGATTTGGTAAGATCGGGATATTTTGTTCCTAGTAAACTCAAGGGTCTGACATTTCAAGAGTGTCAGATGGTTATTGAAAAAATGGCCCAACTTCATGCAGGATCGGTTTTTATAGCCGAAACGGTAAGAAATTAAAAAAATTATTTTAGAACTGTATAAAGATAAACGAAAGAGAAAAAAAATTTTGAAATCGTTTAGGCTAAAAACCAAAATGATTGAAAGCATACTCTGTAAAAATCTTACTTTCTGCCCACTTAGGGTTGCCACGCTTTTGCTCTTTACAAATTCCCTGACTTTTACAGGTTTTCCAGGTTAAAAAACAAAAGTTTTCCAGGTTTTTAAAACGAAAATTATTCGAAAACATCAATAACTTCATTTTTAAATAAATATTTAATCATTATTTTTTTATAGAAATTAAGATATTCAAAAATTTGAAATTCAGTAACATAAGAATATTAAATTATAAAACATGAAGATATCGATCACTCCGAGTTGAAGACTCGAAGTGATCGCTTTCTTCATGTTTTATAATAAATTAAAACTTGCTACTTTGTTACTGTAACTGTAATTTTTGAAATAATATATAATGATTTCAATATTCAATTAAATCAACATTTATTAAAAAATTCTACGAGAATTCAATTATTTCAATAAAAATAAACAATTTATTAAATAATTGAATGTTTCTTAAAATTGAATTTTCATAAAGAATTTTAGCAACAAATTTTTAAATAATTGAATTAATTTTTTTGACAAAATTTAATAGAAAATTTAAGAATAATAACTCTTTTCGAAGAATTCCATTAAAATTAAATTAAAAATAATTGAAATTCTGACAAGAATTTTATTACAATTTTTGAAAATAATTGAACTTTGGAGAAAAATGTTATTATTTATAAAGATAATTGAAATTTTGACAAGAATTTTTGTAAATTTTTGAACATATAATTGAATTTTTGCTAAGAATTATATTACTTTTGAAAATAATTGAATTGTTGAGACAAATTTTAATAAAATTTCTTTTTAAATAATTTAATTCTTTTGTGAAATTTTATTGAAATAGTAGACATTGAAAATAATTGAATTTTGACAAACTTTTGAAATTATTTAAACTAGGAAGAATTTTAATAAAATTATTTTGAAAAAATTGAATTGTTACGCAAAGAATTGTATTAAAATTTTTGAAAATAATTTTATTCTTTAAAAAAATGTAATTAAAAATATATTGAAAATATAGGCAAAGGTTTTTAAAATAATTGAATTTCTTTGATAAATTTTAATAAAATTTTTAGGAATAATAAATTTTTTCGAGGAATTCCATTAAAATTGTATTAAAAATAATTGAAATTCTGCCAAGAATTTTATTACAATTTTTGAAAATAATTCAACTTTGGAGAAAAATGTTATTATTTATAAAGATAATTGAAATTTTGACAAGAATTTTTGTAAATTTTTGAACATATAATTGAATTTTTGATAAGAATTATATTACTTTTGAAAATATTTGAATTTTGACAAACTTTTGAAATTATTTAAACTAGGAAGAATTTTAATAAAATTATTTTGAAAAAATTGAATTGTTACGCAAAGAATATTGTATTAAAATTTTTGAAAATAATTTTATTCTTTAAAAATATGTAATTAAAAATATATTGAAAATATAGGCAAAGGTTTTTAAAATAATTGAATTTCTTTGATAAATTTTAATAAAATTTTTAAGAATAATAACTTTTTTCGAGGAATTCCATTAAAATTGTATTATAAATAATTTAAATTCTGCAATGAGTTTTATTATTTATGAAAATAATTGAATAATATATGAAAATAATTTTTAAATAATTAAATTCCTGTGAAATTTGTATTATTTATGAAAATAATTAAATGTTTACGTAGAATTTTATTAACATTTTTTTTAACTAATTGAATTCTTTTAGGAATTTTGATTAAAATAGTAGATATTAAAAATCATTGAATTGAGGGATGTTTTTGAAAATAATTAAAATTTTGCCAAGAATTGTATTAAAATTTTTGAAAATAATTGAATTTCTGCAATCATTTCTAATTACTTCAAAATTCAATTTGTTTTAGTGTTTTTAACTAAAATTCTTCTATAAATCCATTATTTTTAATGAAACTAGTTAAATATATATTAAAAAATTTAACTAATTTTAGAAGAATTTTAGTTTTTAAATTTTTTTTTAAATCTAAGTTTTTTTATATTTCTAATTAAATTCATTTAAAATTGAAGTTTTACAAAATTTTAAATAAAAATCTTTTAAAGTTCATCTACTTATAAAAATTGTAAACGCAATTCTTTTAAAATTGAATTAATTTTGAAATATTTAAGTGAAATTAGATTTCAAGAATAAACACAATAACTTTAGAAAACAACAATTTTCCAGGATTTCGATCAAAATTCCCTGACATTTTAGGGATTTAACTGAATTTAAATCCTGAGAGTATGATTTCTAATTTTTATATTTAAAACTCTGGGTTAAGTCATAAACTTAACCCATAGTTTTAAATATAAAAATAGGCTACTTTTCAATAATTTTTCTTTTAAGATGTAAACAGTTTCAGACTTTCTTTCTGTGCATTATCAAACTCAAAATTAAATTAAGTCGCATTACTTTAAGACTCAAAATCATACTCTCAAGACTAAAATTCAGTGAAAAATAAGTAAACAGTTTCAGTGAAAGATCGGCTGAAAGTATGATTTATTTTTTACAGTGTATGTTGATATAAAAAGATAACTATATAAAAATTTGTTTAAACAAAATTATCCATTAATTCATAACAGGAACCTCATCTACTAGAATTTTATAAAATTTGCCCTTGGGAAACATTTCCAAAAGCATTTTTTAAATTTATGAAAGATTCATTACGGAGAATAAGTAAGAACATTGCCGAAAAATGGAAGGAAGAGGAATATCAGAGCATTGCTTGTAAATTGACAAAATTCATTGATAATTTAGAGACAAAAATTTCATCTGCTTTTAAATATCGTGACGATGAATTTTGTGTGTTAAATCATGGTGACTTTTGGATTAATAATATAATGATGAAACACAGTGAAAAAGAAAATCTAATTGATGCAGTCATGGTAAAAACAGACATTTAAAAATCCATTTCTTTATCTACAACATCACTATCAAAATCCAGTTTTTTATAAAAATACTTTTTATAATATTACACTGGAAAAAAATTTATTTGACTCAAATAAATTATTATTTGTCAATTAGCAAATAAATATTTTTTTGTATCAAATAATTTTCATAAAAATGACTAACTTAAATGTTTTTATAACAATTAAATAATATTTTTGGTTCAAATTACAGTTTTTCTAAGGATATCAAATTGAGACAAAAAAAAAAAAAAAAAAAAAAAAATTGTTGCGAGGCAACAATTTTACTACGTTTTTTGTCTCAATTTGATATCCTTAGAAAAACTATGATATACTGAAATTATTAATTCAAATAAAATTTTTTCGCTTTAAATAAAAATTACTTGATTCAATATAAAATTTCAGATCGATTATCAATTAGTGGCCTACACGTCACCAGCTATCGACTTACAGCATTTCTTTGCAATGTGTCCAGAATTGGATGTAAAAGGAGAAAAAGACGAATATTTGCTTGAAAGATATCTGACAGTATTAACAAGAGAAATGAGAAAATTGGGTTGCAAAACTAAGCCACCAACAATGAAGGACTTACACGAAGCAATGAAATCAAGAGGAATACATTCAGTCATTACCGGATTAATTTTTTATCCCGGTGTTCACGCCAATAGTGAAAATATAGAAGACTTTACCGAAGTAATGTCAGAAGGCGAAACAAACGTCGATGTATTTAACAATTCCTCAGCTGTTGAAATAATACGAAAATTCTCTCGAATTATCAATAATAAAGGTTACCTCGACTGAATCCATATAAATATTTAATCCATAATATTTAATTTAAAAAAAATTAAACTAAGAATTAATCTAAAAAAGCACGAAATTAAAAATTCACAATTTTAATCTTATTTCCTATATTTTATTTTTACAAGAGTTGAAAATAAGTTTCAGTGACACAAAAAAATCTCAAATTCTTTCCCATTTTCCAATTTTTAACTTATGATGAAAAATTACCGATCTATAGATATCGCAGATAAAAGTTACAGATATTTAAAAAATGGAGGACTAATCAGCATTAAATATTTGATAATTTTGATACTTCTGTAATTTTATATAATTACTTTTTCGTAAAAGAAATTTCAGCATTGACATTGATTTATCTGCAATCTGCATTACATAATCGTTTTACAAAAGTTAATACAGTATTGCACCCTTGTAACATCCGTCAGTTAACCCACAGCACGAGAGCAAAAAAAAAAAAAACTACGCCACAAAGTATTGAAGGGGTGACCCCGGCGTCTATATGCTTTCATTGAAATGCAATATAAAGCCCCTGTATTTATACGGTTATTTATTTCATGATGAAAAAAAATGTAATCCTCAATTGCAGTTGTACTCAACTGTAAAAGAGAATTACAAGAATAGCAAGAAAGAATTTTTAAAACAAAAATTTATTTCGAAAAACATAATCTCTTTTCACTATCGATCATCAAAAATTTACATTTTTGCTTTTTGGCAAATTATATTATTCATTTTAGATAAGTAAATTATAGCAAATATTGGAATTTTCATCTGACGAAATTTCTGATCAACAAATTTTAATTTACTTTTTACTTTACTGAGAGAAATGATTTGTTATAACAACTATTCAGTTAGTAAAAATGTCGCTGCTAATTTTTAGAAATTACTATCTAAATTTTAATTAGTCAAAACGTACACTAATTTGAATAAGTAACTGACTTTTTGCTTTTGAATTAGTAAATTTTAATAAACAGGCCTCAGATCGACTTTAAAAGATACAAAAAAATTCGCTTTACCTAGTCGATTAAAAATTTAAAAATACAAAAAAATTCGTTTATTTAATTCAGTGTTACAACGAAAATGTTCTCTTCTAACTTTAATTATTGTCCATGTTTTTTTAAAGTTATTAAGATATTTTATTTTTAAAAAATTATAATAAAGAAACTCTTAAAATTAATTTTTTTTAAATATTTTTAAATCATTTTTTGAAGATGATAGTCTTTTCAATTATATTACAATAAAAACATTTCCAAACAATTGAATTTTGGTACAATCTTTTCAAAATAATTGAAATTTGATAAAATCTTTTTAAAACAATTGAGTTTTGGTAAAATTGTTTTAAAATAATTGAATTTTGGTAAAATTGTTTTAAAATAATTGAAATTTGAGAAAATCTTTTAAAAATAATTAAATTTTTGAAAAATATAAAATAAATAATCAACTTTTTCAAGAATTTTAATAATAATCTAAAGAATTAAATTTTTAAAAAAATGTAATTTACTTTGTTCGTAGATAGGTAAATAAAAAAAAGTTATGATAAAACATTTTAATAAGAATCTAAAGAAGTAAATCTTAAAAAATTATGATATAACAATTCTAAGAATTAGTTTTTTAAAAATATTCTAATGTAATTTATTGAAAATAAATGAATTTCTTAAAAGAATTTTTGTATAATTTAAAAAAAAACTAAGTAATTTTTTGAAGAATTTTGATTGAAAATTTTTACAATGATTGATTTTTCCAAACTCTGTTAAAAATAATTCTGGATAATTTTAATGTTTCTATAATTTTTTTACCTATGTATTTGAATTTTCGGAATTATATTTTTAAAAATATTGAAAATAATTGAATTTTAAAAAATTATAATGAAAAAAATTCTAAGAATTACTTTTCTAAAAAATTGAAATATTATTTTCAAAAAGCTAGTTTTTATTAATTTTCATTTTCATAAATTTACACTTAAAGATTTTTCATTAAATTTTTTTGAGAATTCAATATTTATTTTCACATAATTTGCATTTAAATTTGTTCAAAAGTTGAATTTGAAAAATTGTAATAATAATACTTGGAAAAAATCAACTATTTTTAATTAAATTTTACAAAATTTCAATTATTCCAAATCTTTTTAATTGTATATTTCGAAAAAATAAAAAAAAATTTCATAAAAGAATACAATTTTTTTTAATTTTTAATATTTTTCGAAAAAATTCAATTATTTAAAAAAGTTTTAATAAAATTTCATGAACAAATTCAATTTTCTTTTTAATTTTTAATAATATTTTTCGAAAAAATTAAATTATTTTCTAAATCTTAATTCGTTTTAAATTTTTTGCAAAAATTCAATTATTTTCAAAAAAATTCAATTATTTTTAAACTTTTAATAAATCCTTCGAAGCAATTCAATTATATTTATTTACAAATAGTAACATTTTTTGCGAAAATTCAAGTATAGTCAAAACAATTTTGGAAAAAAGCCAATTTTTTCTTAATTCGTTATAAAATTTTGTTTAAAAAAATTCAAAATTCAATTACTTTTTGAAATTTTAATATATTCTGCTTTCAAAAATTGTAATAATAAAACTTGAAAAAAAATCAATTATTTTCAATTAAATTTTACAAAATTTCAATTATTCCAAATCTTTTTAATTGTATATTTCGAAAATTTAATTGGATAATAAGATTTAAATTTCAAAAAGAGAGAAATAATTTTGTTCATTTAAATGTTGAAAACTTTAAGAATATAAATTTTTTTTCAAATCAAGTAAATGTTACTTAACTGTATAGCAATGCATTTATTTGATTGAACCAAAAAATTTTTTATTTTAAATAAATGGTATTTATTTGATAAGACAAATAATTTGTTGTTTGAATTAAATAATTTTTTTTTTCAGCAAACAATTGAGAGAAAAAAAAGGATAAATACTGGTATTTTTTAAGAGCAGACGTTTATATTCAGTTCTCTAAAGACTAATTGTTTTTTGAAGTATACTTTTAAATTGTAGAAAAATGGATTTATACGAGGTGTCTTATATAAAGAGATTACGACTATATTCGAAGGGGTGGGAGGGTTTTAAGAATGAATATAAAGGCAGTAAAGTGGAAAAGAAGATAACAATGTAGGCGGGAAAAAAATGAATAAAGCGTAGTGCCTTTTATGACTGTCCCTATTAGTCAAAAAACATTTCTTATTGCTTCGCGAATTAAAATGAATGAGGTGCTATGTCTACAATAATATCATAGACATTAGTAATATTGCGGAAAAAAATTACTTTCACGAAAAGCTCATGTAATTTTCAAAGTTAAAATACAATCGTTTAATTGACATAAATAAAAATAATTTGATTCAAATAAATATTTATTTGATAAATAGTCAAAATTCTCTAAATCGGAATTAGTCACTTTTGACAAATGAAATAGAAACAGAAGATGAATTGATAAACGTTTTGACTCATTTTTAGTCGACAGTAACTAATTGTTAGTAGAAAACTAGTTTTTTATAGAAAACTATACTAATTAATTTGTTAATTAATTTATTTACTTATTTAAGTAATAAACGGGTTAATCTTACTATTTTAATAATTAATAATTAATAATTAATAATTAATTATTAATAATTAATAATTAATAATTAATAATTAATAATAATTAATAATTAATTAATAATTACAAAATTTTTTATTTTCAAATACGAATTTTTGAATAATTTCAGTTTCAAACTTTTAAAAAATTTAATTATTAACTAATTTACTAATTAATTATTCACGTTTATCAATTTCAAAAATGTTAATAAAATTCTTTACAGGAATTCAATTATTTCCATAAGTAATAACATTCTTCGTAAAAATTCAATTATTTTTATAAGTAGTAAAATTTTTTACAAAAAAATTCAACTATTTTTAAATAAAATTTCACGAAAGAATACATTTATTTTCTGAAATTTTAATAAATCCTTGGAAACAATACAATTATTTTTTTAAATAGTAAAATCTTTGCAAAAATTCAATTATTTACAAACAAAAAATTTCACGAAAGAATTCAATTTTTTTCTTAATTCGTTATAAAATTTTTGCAAAAATTCAATAACTTTCAAAAAAATTTCATGAAAGAATTCAATTTAAAAAAAATTTTTAATAATATTTTACAAAAAAGTTCAATTATTTCTAATTTCTAAAATTTAAAAAAAAATTTCGAATAAATTTAATTGTTTTTACCTAATACAATTTTAATAAAATTTTAGGAAAGAAGTCAATTTTTTTCTTAGTTCGTTATAAAAAATTTCAAAAAAAAATTCAAAATTCAATTATTTTCAAAAAAATTTCATGAAAGAATTCAATTTTAAAAATTTTTAATAATATTTTTTGAAAAATTCAATTATTTTTTAAACTTTTAATAAATCCTTTGAAGCAATTCAATTATATTTATTTATAAATAGTAATATTCTTTGCGAAAATTCAAGTACATTCAAAACAATTTTAGGAAATTTTTTGTAACGAATTAAGAAAAAACATTGTCATTTTTTTTCTTAATTCGTTATAAAAAATTTCAAAATAAAATTCAAAATTCAATTACTTTCTAAAATTTTAATAAATTCTTCGAAAAAATTTAATTGTTTTTAATACCTACAATTTTAATAAAATTTCATTAAAGAATTCAATTTTTTTCTTAATTTGTTATAAAATTTTTGCAAAAATTCAATTATTTTCAAAATTTCATGAAAGAATTCAATTTTAAAAATTTTTAATAATATTTTTCGAAAAAATTCAATTATTTTCTAAACTATTAATAAATCATTCGAAACAATTCAATAATAATTATTTATTTATAAATAATAAAATTCTTTGCAAAAATTCAAGTATATTCAAAACAATTTCGGCAAAGAAGCCAATTTTTTTCAATTAGTTATAAAAAATTTTTTTTTTATATTCAATATTCAATTACTTTCTAAAATTTAAATAAATTCTTCGAAAAAATTTAATTGTTTTTAATAAAATTTCATGGAATTCAATT